GATCTTCCTCTTTTTCTCTGACCCTCCATCTTACCCAGCATGACATCCTTCTCCAGTGACTGTTCCCTCCGTACAATATGTCTGAATTATGAGAGATGAAGTTTAGCCATCTTGGCCTCCAAGGAGCACTCTGGCTGCACTTCTTCCAAAACAGATCTATTGGTTCTTTTGGCAGTCCATGGCACTTTTAGTATTCTTCTCCAACACCATTTGAGTTTTCCTACTTTAGGAAAAGAAAAAGAGAGTGATTATAAAGTCTTCACTCCACTTTAGGAAGTAACCAAAGAAAGAGAGATCATAAAGTCTTTACTTCAGGAAATTAAAAAAAGGTTACCCAAATACAATAAACAGGATTATTTTATATATATATATTCCATACACACACACACACAGTAGGAACACTAGACAATGCTTCAGCATTAAACTTGGGGACCCAAATCACCAAAAAAAAAAAGCACAAAAGTGCAAACAAAAATACCATGGCTTTTTTACCTCAGTCGGGAAAGTATGTTGTTGTTTAAGAGCTTGTTCAAGAGTTGTTCAAGTCCAACTCATAGCAACCCTGTATAGGATTTCTGAGGGCTGGTGAGTTTGAACCATCCATCTGCAGTTAGCAGTCCAGTGCTTATCCTAAAGTGCCACACTAGAACTCAAAATTTTCACTGCTCTGTACATTTGTGAATGTCTGCAAAATGCCATGCTTATTGGTTTTTGGGTTACAATTTAGTGAGTTGGTGAATTTCTAAATATAGAATCTGCGTAACTGTTTTAGTCATTGGGTGGGTGCTGTTGTAACAGAAATACCACAAGTGGTTAGCTTTAACAACATATTTATTTTCTCACAGTTTTGGAGGTCAGAAGTCTGAAATCACAGCACTTGGGAAACCCCCTGGTCTCTTCAGCTTCTTTTCCTTGGTGATCTTCATGTGTTTAGCTTCTGTCTTCCCCTATCTCTGCTGTTTTGCTGCCTGGCTTAATCTGCGCCTTTTACATCTCAAAAGAGATTGATGCAAAACAATACACTAATACTAACAATTAACATAACAAAGAAACCCGTTTTCCAATTGGGATTATAATGGAAAGTATATGGCCCTGTGGGTTAATGTGCCAGACTGCAAAGCCCACTGAACTGCAAGGTAGGTGGTTCAAGCTCACAGGTTGCTTCTGGGAAATCCTATACAGGGTCACTATGGGTTGGAACCAACTCAATGGCGCTGTCATGCAGTCCAATCTGACTGCTAGCTTCTCTGTTTCCAAGGAGCCGCTGACCTTGCAGTTAGAAATCCAGTGCCACACCAGTACTCCTAACCACAGGTATAGAGGGGTTAGGATTTATAGTGCATTTTGGGGACACAATCCATAACACCTACCCTACTCCTAGTTCTAGATGAGGCCTTCAGTCCTTTCCTCCTCAGACTGCAGGGGTGACTGCTCAACCCACAACCTCCCCTTCCACTGGAACTAACTTGAACTCCTCCCAGACCACCTGACCTTTTTGTCCTGTAAGCTACTCCTATAAGCCCCTTGCTTCTCACACCCTACTCCTGGTCAGCCCCTAGGGCTTCATAGTGCTGTGAGACTGTAGCTCCCCCACTTGCACCCTGAGGCATTGGACTGGGTGGTTTGTGTACCTTGTGGTTCTAAGTACTGATCTCTCCAGGCAGTTCTGGGCCTTGGCCCACCTACTGCACTTACCACCTGCTGTTTTAGCTGGTTGGTGTGCCTGATTCCAGCTTTGACCTCTCTACTTTTTCAGAGCCTTAAATGGTTTTATAAATATCCATGAGAAATGAGGCAAGGAGTGGAGTGTCATTGAGGAGAGAGGTTGCGTGCCAGCCTAGTGTACTTTGTGGGTGATGGGCAGGACCAGACCAGAGGCTAGCTTTGCCCTTGTGTAGGGGCTGACTTGTTGCAGTATAGAGGAACCATCTCAGAGGTGACTCAGAGACCCTGCATCAAAGATGACTGAGCAATAAAAAAGAAAGAAGCTGCTAAATGTCCTGAGGTGGGAAAGCAGAGACAGAGACAGGGTCTGAATCACAGGCCTTCTTGTTGGACATACTCACATTGACTTCAGAACCCAGCTATTGACTAATCTCTGTTGTTATTGTTAGGTGTCCTCAAGTCAGCTCTGACTCATAGTGACCCCTTGCACAATAGAATGAAACATTGGCAGGTCCTGTGCTAGCTACACTTGTTGCTATGTTTGAGCCCATTGTTTTTGTCACTATATCATTTTACTGGGGGTCTTCCTCTTTTTCACTCACCCTGCATTTTACCAAGCATGATGTCTTTCTCCAGGCCTGGTCCCTCCTGATAACGTGTCTGAAGTATGAGAAGTCCGAAGTCTGTTCTGGCTTCTAGGGAGCATTCTGACTGCAGTATATTCAAAACCAATCTCTTAACACTTAGTAATGATGTCAGTACACAGTGTAGTGTCAGTTGAAAGAAACACTCATACCAGCGTGGCACTTTTACTTTTTGAAGCTAACATTCCCAGAACACTTTTAAGCATTGTCATAAATGCTTGATTCCTCCCATCAGCCTCAGTGAACAGGTACTCTGAGGCGCTCCATTTCCAACTGAAGAACTTGAGGTCTGCTCCCAGCAAACACGGAGGCCATACTCTGGCAGAGGGCAGGTCCCGCTGGTCCCAGGGTCTTACTTAGCTTGTCACACAGTAACTTCAACTGCGTCATTCTTACTTGACACAGTCTCTCAGCTTCCAGGAAACCCTCGTGATACCTGTGACATTTGACCTATACACCTCAGTTCTGTTTAGCACAGTTACTCAGATTCCTGTTTTCCTGTGCTAATGTCTCTGGCTTTAAGGCTATTTAGGTTCCCTAAACCTCTTTCTCTTCCCCTTAACCTTGCTAATTAAAACTGCCAGAGGAAGAGGCATCAGTTTCCATTTCCACATCCAGTTTCCTTGGTTGTAGTTAGTCATGCAATGTTGGTTGTGCTTTTACTATTATTTTGAGTCCTCTGGCAGAACACTTTTTTTTTTTCAATTAGGAAAAAAAAAGTTGTTAATTTCTGTCACTTTTTGTGAGTGAATCTAGAGGCCATGTGTGAAGCATTTTTCAATTTCTGCACGTCAAAGTCTTTTTTACTTCCCTAATTATAAAGTTAAGGAGCTCTGGTAGTGTAATGGTTACGAATTGGGTTGCTAACCTCAGGGTCAGCAGTTCAAAACTACCAGCTGTTCCGCGGGAGAAAGATGAGGCTTTCTGCTCCTATAAAGATTTACAGCCTCGGAAACCCTGCTCAGGGTTACTCTGAGTCAGAATCTACTCCACAGCACATAACCACCACCAATTATAAAGTTATCTATATCACTGTTGTTGTTAAGTGCCATTGAGTTGCTTCCGAACTATAGCGACCCTGTATAGGGTTTCCGAGAAGCAGCTGGTGAACTTGAACTACCAACCTTGTAGTTCAGACGGTTTTGCGCCTGGTACGTTAACCCATAGCGCCACACCATTAGGGAAGGGAAAAAGACTTTTTAATTAGGGAAGGAAACAAGACTTTGATGGGCAGAAATTGAAAATGTTTCACACATGCCTCTAGATTCACTCCCAAAAAGTGACAGAAATTTAAATGTTTTTTTCCCTAATTAGAAAAAAAAAAAGTTAGTGGTGTTGTAGAATTGTTGACCACAAGGTTGGAGGTTCATGCCCACCAGCCACTCCTTAGAAACCCTATGCAGGGCTGCTATGAGTTGGAACAACAGTTATAAAGTTATACTTTTAGTTACAAGTTATTTTGCATTTACATGCTTAAGATTGTTTAACTTGCTCAACAGTTGGAGAAGCTGACTTCTGCCCAGCACTTTTTAAAGAGCTCTTAAAACAGATTTGAATATACCAGTACTTGAAAAACACACACTCCAAACAGCCAGAGATATGAAGTGGCTTCCTCAGAGTTAACTCTGGAGTAATACGTCACCTTGGCCTTCTAAAGATAGGCCCCAACTGGAAGGCAGGATGGGAAGAGCTTCCCTTGGGGCTGTGTCTCCCAGCAACCCCCTTTTGAATCCTGCACTGTGGAAGGTTACCTGGTTTCATTTTGAAAAGGCTGGATGCATGGACTACGTCTATTCCTAGATTTCTTCTCTGCCTTAATTGCTAAGCCCCTCATTGTTCCGTTTGTCAGAAATGAAATGTTAGGACGAAAACAGGAGTCATTGCTTCAGAGCACTAGTGATGGCTGTACGCGATGAATGTAATTCATGTCCAAATCGTTGGAATGGGAAATATTTTACTATGTTGTTGGTAAGTGCCATTGAGTCTTCCTGACTCATAGTGAACCCTGTAAAGGGTTTCTGAGGAGTGGCTGGTGGAATTGAACCTTAGAACACGCGATTAGCAGTCTAGTGCTTATCCTACAACACCATACCAGGACTCCATGTTTTGACATGCATAGACATATTTTTTATTGAAATCATTTAAAAGTTAAGGGGAAAATATTGTAAGAATTAGAATAAATTATTACAGGTGGTTTAGAACAGGAAGCCACTACTCATTCCTTGCTCCAGGAGGCCTATGTGCCAGCATCAACTCCTTCTTTTTTTTTTTTTTTTTTTAATTTTATTGTAAATTGAGTGAAGGTTTACAGAGCAGAACCTCAGTTTTACATTTAACAAATCACAGACTTGACTTCATTTACAATGACTGCAATCATCTATGTATCATCAGTTAACAGTGTTTACCTCTATTTCCTTTAAGATTTTTTTTAAAAAGCTGTTCATTGGTAGCAGACCTTTTTTATTTTACTTATTCTAGTGATGATTATGGATCATTCCAAAATAAAGCTAGAAAATTCCATAACCTTTGACCTTGGAAGCCAAGTTCTCCAACTCTACTACTATGGGGTAGGCAGACTGGCCGAATCTTGTTGGGTGATTTCTGGCGTGTTTATTTTAAATCATCATGCTGCGTGACATATTAGAGGCCAGGCGGGTGGGAAGCTCCTGTTTCAGTCCTGTATATCTTCAGGGAAGGTCTGGCTCATTTCAGCCAGAGCCACGTGTGCCCAGCCTGGTACTTGTGGCTGGCAACTCTCGGAACTTGCCGAAAATACGGTCAGCGTCTCTGAAGGTGATTTCGGGGAGATGTACAGGAATGGTCGAGTACTTCAGCACCTTCAATTTACTCTGAACTAACATCCGCAGATTGTGGGAAGTGCGATGGTCATGTTCAAGCTGTGGACCTTTCTCATACGTCAGATACTCAATATCCTCTACCAACCTCTTCAGCAGCTGAAGCGTTCCTTGATCTGAACCATTAAACCATACAGTTTCCATTCATTTCAGGAAGGAAGGTTCTTTTGCAGGCCTTCTCCATACCCTGAAAATAGGCAGAAATGATCTTCCTCTCAACGTGGATCTCTGCTCTTCTGAAGGCAACGCTGGATCTGGGTGACGGGCAGGTCAATGTAGACGATCATGTGCGGAGGCAGGTACTCGCCGGTTGTAATCTTCACCTGGTCCTGGTGGTCCACACGCTGCTTCCCGATGTCCTCTTGTTAGTCCAAGGTCTCCAGGAAGACGAGATCACCGTAGATGGCGCGCTCCGACAGCACTCCCTGGCCTGTGCTCAGCTAGTGAGCGTCTGCATCCACTACTGCTCTGGTCATTGTAGAATCTCTCCAAAGTGCAGTTCGCGCTAAATGCCTTGTCCAGCGGCTCTCGGTTTCCTGTTGCCCCGTCTGCGTAGTGCACACTGGCTTCTCGGAAGTGCCTCAGACCGAGTTTCTCCTCACTCTCCTTGGCAAACTTGTCTTTCTTGGAGTAGATTATCACTGCCAACGGTGATCACTTTGCTGTACTCTGAGTTTTTGGTTGTTTCATCACCAAGTATGAATGCCAAAGGGGGTCACACTGCAGCTTCTGTGGTGCACTTGTATGAATTCCTGCGCGCACGCTGCCCGCCTGCCTCCAAGGCCCTGCGCCCACGCGCACACTTGGACCAGCCTCAGCATCCGTGAAGCCATGGCTATAGCAGACTCTATTTCCTTTCACTCTTGTACTCCTCCATGTGTAACCCCTTACCTTACACTGCGTCTTGGTAGTCTCCGTAGTGACATTCTGGGTTCGCTACTGTAACAAAGGACAGAACACAGAATCTTTAACACAACAAACATTTATTTCTCTCTCCTGATATAGCGACTGTGTCGTGTCAAGGAACAGGCTCTTTCTCTTTTTTTTTGCTCTGTCATCTTTAAGAGATGGCTTCTGACTCAAATCTAAGTACTGCCACATCTGCCTTCCAGCCAGCAAGAAGGGAAAGAGAGGGAAAGGACAGGTGGACATACTTTTTTTCTTTAAAGGATGTGCCCAGGAGGTTCACCATGAAACATCTACCATGGCCAGACCTTGGTCACATGATCACACCTAGTTGCATGGTCACATGATCACATCTAGTTGCCAGGCATTAGTCACATGATCACACCTTAGTCACATTGGTCAGACCTTAGTTAAATGATCACACCTGGTTGCAAGGGAGGCTGGGAAATGTATACCTCAGTGGAGAGATTATGTACATAATGTAGATAATCACCTAAGATGTCTATTACTCTGGAATGTTAGTGTTAAGTGCAGTGGAGTTGATTCTGATTCATAGCAACCCTCTAAAGGGTTTCCGAGGAGCAGTGGTGAGCTTGAACCACCTTGCGGTTCAAACCAGCCTCGAGGTCCAGTGCATTATCTTGCAGCACCAAACTAGGACTCTACAGGAGAGAATAAATATGGAGGAGTGATTATTAGTCTCTGCCACAGTCTTCCTTTTCTGGCCATCCAAATATCCATATATACCTGCCTTTCTACACATAAATATACTCAACCTTCTCCCAAGATAAACAGTTTTGGAATGCTTAGCAACTGACCAGACGGGACTCTTGCTTAAAGCCCAGGAATTCTGAGCAATGTGTGGTTTTCTTTATAAGTTCCGAAAGATTTAGTAACTCTCAACCAAAGAAAAGTTATGTACTCCCTCTAGCCTCAACACAGCCCAAATTCAATGGGGGAATCAGAACAGGAAGCCGCAATAAAAACTCCCATTTGAAATGAGAAACACACTGTAGGTAGGTCTTTGTAGCAGGGAGCAGATCTAAACTGACTTGAGCAAGAACTGTGAAAGTTCTTCCCTGCTACAGGAGTAAATTCCACCCTGGTTCTTCTTCAGTGATTATCAGAATGTGTTTCTTAGACCCAGAAACCATAGCATCACTTGGGAACTTGTTAAAATTGCAAATTCCTTGGACTCCAACCCATCTACTGACTCAAGATCTCTGGGAATGAGGCTCCCAAAATTTGAGTTTTATCAAGTCCTTCAGGCAATTCTGATCTGTTGTTTAAGGACCATTCCTCTAACATGTACTTAGCTGACATCTGGGTGAGGGCAGTGGGGTGGGGAAGAGGTGGTTCTTCCTTGTCCTTTATCCCATGTCCTCATCTATATTGGGAACTGGAGCCAGTCTGCCCTTATTGAGGACTGTCTAGCTTTTCCAGCCCATTTCCTGTTTTTAGAGCTTGGGGACTTAGAGCATTAGGAGTTATAGGCCAGGCGTGTGATTTCTTTGGCAGTACAATTTTCTCAAAAAACAAAAACAAAAACAAAAAACCCCCGAGAAGCTTCTGGTTTGGTAACCACAGATCCAGGCTAGATTGGTCTATGTGTAATTCTTAATCTTGAAATGTTTGATTTTTCATTTACTGACCTCTGTGCTCAGCCTGCCCTGCTTCTGCCCCTAATTTAATGTTCTTACTCTTAAGGCCCTCTGGAATAATAAATTGGATGGGAAGGCCAAACCCTGACTAGACTTTTGCCTCTGGATACTCTCTGTGTCTGGCAGAGAACTTCTGAGGTTCAGTAGTGGCATTTAGAAAGGAGGAATGTTAGATGTTGATTGAGAAAGGTTAGTTCCATAGTCTTCCCAGAATGAAGGCTAGCTGTCAGTTTAGGCTGAGAGAGCCTTCCTTTTCAGCTCTGCTTGTGTCTGATCTAGCTCCATTAGAGCTCACTCTCTTTTGTTGGAGGTTCCTGAAAAAGAAGCCGTGTACAATAACATTCAGGATATTTTCAGCTCTTCCGCTACTGTAGAGCATGAGATTTGAAGGCTTTTTACCTGGGAACAACTCCAGACAGAGCTTAATTCCATCCTGTGCCTACATTTGAGTGTTCAGATGCCTGTTTTTCTCTGACAGCTGAACTGCCATTTATATTTAAAAATGGGTTTGGGGCCACTTCCCCCAGCTAGCCCTCTCAGGAAGTTTAAACTGTCCTCTCACTGTGAGCTGTCTCCTCACTGCTTTCCATATGCTTGACATGCCTGTGTGATATGTCGCTGCTGTAGGTCATGGTTGTAGGAGGAGATTCCTTTGTTCTCTGTGCCTCATAAAGGATCACCACGTGGAGGCAGAACTTTGGAAACTCATCCTGGCATTCAGTAGTATCGATGATTTCTTTTACCCAGGTGATCTATGTTTGTTTTTTTCTTGTCTTTATTCCTGTTTACATCAGGATAAGATATGTGAGTAATGAACCATCCCTAACTGTTTCAATTTATATACAAATTTGATTTCAAGACAGATTTAGTAACCAAATGTGTTTGTAATCCAGGGACTGTCTCTATCACTACTTTTAGTTCTATTAGTTGCTTTTATAACTTTTAAACAAATATATTTCTAGTTAATTTTACCATCTACTGTATGTAGTATCTCTTTTGAAAAATGTGTTTTGTTGTTGTTGTTGAGAGTCTACACAGTGAAACATACACCGTTCAAGAGTTCCTACATGTACAATGCTGGTGACATTGACTACAGTCTTCAAGTTACAGAACCATTCTCTCCCTCTTTTCTTAGTCAGAAAACAAGGGTGGGTGGCTGACGCTGGAGAGGGGGCAGGGGCCAGGCTCCCAGGGCTGTGTGACTGTGGTGAAGAGTTGTTTTCACACAGGCAGCAAAGGGAAGACATGAAGGATTTCTGCCTGGGAAGCACTTTGTCATTCTGGTCTCAGTGTGGGATGGGTGATGTAGGGTTCTGGCATGATCTGAGAAGGGGAACAAGAAGCTACAGGCATCTGAAGGAATTTATGAGGGGATTGAGACTATCTTCCCATCTTTTTGCAATTTTCGTGCAGTCTCTTTTTGGTTGTGCAACCTTAACAGTTTCTAGCTTTCAGTTTGGCCTCCCAACTTGTCACTTCCTTCCTGTAACTTAAGTGGTCTCTCACCGGGTAGGAATTTTTTGCTGCTACCCAGACTGTGTTCACTGGAAGGATTCCCAGTACATCTCCTTTCTAACCACTAGGGAACAAGACTTGATAGAATTCAGTCCTTGGAGTCATCAGAAATTTGTTGGAAAGTAGCACTGTGCGGGGCCAAGATGACCCCCAACCCTAGGCCAAGAGTCAGGAGCTCTGGAGTCTAGTGGTGGTGGTGGCTGTGTGCCATCAAGTCACTTCCAACTCATACAGACCCTTAGAGGGTTTTCCAGGCTGTGAATCTGTACAGGAGCAGAAAGCCTCATCTTTCTCTGGTGGATTCCAACTTCTGACCTTGAGGTTAGCAGCCCAATGTGTAACCCATGACAGCACCCTAGCTCCTTTAGAGTCTGGTAGTAGCTTTTATTTAGCACCTACTGTGTCCCAGAAAAAGGATTCCTGATGCTGCTGAAAGATAAACACTAGAATTCTAACCACAAGCTCAGCAATTCAAACCCATCAACTGCTGTGGGAGAAAGATGAGGCTGTCTCTTCTGTGAAGTCTCAGAAATCTTACGTAGGGTTGCTGTGAATTAAAATGGACTCGATGACAGTGGATTTGGGTTTTTTTTGGTTTGTCCCAGAAAGTCCTGCTACATTGGTTAAATGCTTTGCTACTAATGAAAAGGATGGCAGTTTGAACTCACAAACCGTTCCGTTCCCTGGGAGAAAGATGTGGCAGTTGGCTTCTGTATATTACAGCCTTCCCACCTGTGGAGATCACCTTGTAGCCAAACAGCTAAGAAGCCTGTAAAGAGAACAAGCAACTCCTGTGAGGAACTTACTCCTCAGAACAGTCAACCATATGAGACCAGAAGGGCAGCATTTGCCCCAAAACAGAGCTCAGAAGGCAGGAAAGAAGGATGAATGGAACCAGAGAACCCCGAGAGAAAGTGAAGAAAGCTCTGCTCCATTAAAGGAATTGCGATCAATGTCATGAGACAAAATGTACACATTGATGTTATTGTTGTTAAGTGCTGTCTAGTCTGTTCCGATTCATAGGGACCCTATATAGGGTTTCCGAGGAGCGACTGGTTGAGCTTGAACTGCCGACCTTGCAGTTCAAACTGACTTTGCAGTCCAGCGCATTAACCCCAGTGCCACACCAGCAATGGAAAACTAATTTGCTCTATTAACTTTCCCAAGCCGCTACAAAATGTTCAAGACAAAAATAAATTAAGGTACTCAAATTTAAGACATGTTATCATTTGGTAACTGGTATTTTGAAGTCCTCTTAAATAACATGTTAAATATGTTAAAAAAAAAAAATTGCAGCCTTGGAAATGTTATGGGGCAGTGCAAATGTGTCCTATGTTGTTGTTGTTGTGTGCTGTTAGAGT